TGGGAATGGGGAAGCCATCCAAGGAAGGCTTCCCAAGGTTTGCATCCCTGGAAAAGGCGGATGGGAATGCTGGTGCCACACTGACACCTCGTGGAGAAAACGCTCGTTGCAATCCCGGCGCTCCAGGGCCGGATTTTTGGGATCAGTTTTCGGTGGGAATTGGAGGATAAAACAGTGCCCGGCCCGAGCAGATCCCGGGATTTAACATCCCAAAATCCCGCCTCCGATCCCGGCTTTCCGCAGAGCCGGGGCAGCCGCCCCCCTCAGAATTCCTGGGAAGAGGCTTCGGAATAAAAGGATTTATTGAACACAGGGACACACAGAGAGCCGATTCCCACCCCATCCGTGAGGAATTCCCCCTTTCCCCCCCATTCCCAACTGGAAAACATCCCAGAATTCCCAAAACAGGCGGGAAGGGAATTCCCGCTGCTCCCAGGATTTCCGAGGGACTCTGGAATGTTCCGGCAGCTCAGTGACACCTTCAGTATCCCAACTTCCTTCTCGCCAGGAGAAATCCGTATTCCCGGGTTTTTCCTGGCCCCGGTAAAATCGGGAATGGCCAAAAACACCCTTAAAGTGCTGGACTGCAGCTCGGGTCTCCCAAAAGAGAGGGAATGACCGGAAAAGATGGATTTGGGACCAAAAAAAACTGGGAAAAAGCTGGAAAAATCTCCCAGGGACAAGCCTGGTAGCTCTGTACGGATCCAGCTCCGTTTGGAATTCCAGAGGGACCTTTAGGATTTCCCTAAATCTATGGAAAAGGTCAGATCCGTCCAGAATCTCTTTGGGATCGCCTAGGGAAGCGTTTCCCGGCTTCCCGAAAAACCTCTGGGAATGAGCACAAAGCGGTTCCTGAGGAGCAGCGGCAGCGGAGAATTCCTCAGGCCGGGAAAATCCGGGATTCCAGCAGGAAAAGCTCAGGGTTTCCTGCGCCTGCAATGGGAAAGAGCCACAGGGAATTTTTGGGAGTCATCCGGGGGAATTCTGGGAGCAGCCGAGCCCCCATTCCCCATTCCCAGGGTTTCGCATTCCCAAATCCCACACGCCTCCCAGAAAATCCAAATGAATCCAAGGAAACGCCAAGGAATCCGGGGTTTTCCTTGGATTTTTAGACAGCGGGAGCAGTAAATGGAGCTGGAATCCAATTCCTCAGGTCCCTCTTCCCACGGGGAATTTGGGATTCCCCAATGGATAACGAGGGGTGGAAGGGAGAGGGAATCCAGGGAATTCCCGCTGCTGTTCCCAGCCCTATTCCAGTCGGGAATGAAGACCCAAAGTGGGAAGGGCAGCGAAGTTGGGGGGAAACATTCCCAAAGTTTTGTCAGGAAAGAATTCCAGGGCTGGAATTCCCAGGGTTGCCTTAGCAGTAATTTGGGAATGGGAATTCTCCGCTTCCTTAGCGGCTCCACGCAGTTGGAATTTCAGCGGGAATTCCGCCGCAATTCCCTCTTCCCACAGGGAACTGTAATCCCAAGAAACCGGAAGCTCCCGATCCCGAGAAGCTGGAATTCCCCGATGGATAACGAGAGGTGGAAGGGGCAGGAAAGGGAATCCAGGGAATTCCTGATATTCCAGCTGGGAATGCAAACCCCAGGAGGGCAGGGGGGGAGAAAACATTCCCGGAGATTTGTCGGGAAAGAATTCCAGGAGCACTCACTTGGGCTGGGCGTGGTGCTGGAATCCCGGGCCCAGCGCCGATCCCGCCCTCATCTCCACGGCCACGGAGCACTGGGAATACACCAAGGTCAGGATCCACGCTTCCCACAATTCCCAACACTCCCACAATTCCCAACGCTCCCAGCATTCCCCACACTCCCAGAATTCCCCACACTCCCAGCATTCCCAATGTTCCCAACATTCTCAGCAATCCCGGCACTTCCAGAATTCCCAACACTCCCAGCATTCCCCAAACTCCCAGCATTCCCAATGTTCCCAACATTCTCAGCAATCCCGGCACTTCCAGCATTCCCAACACTCCCAGCATTCCCCACACTCCCAGAATTCCCAACACTCCCAGCATTCCCAGCACTCCCACCTCCCCATCCAGAGGCCTTTGGATCCCCGTTCCCAGAATGCCCAAGGCCGGGAATGCCAGGATCGGGATGAGCCCAAGTTCCCTCCCAGCCCGGAATTCCGGGATCCCGGAGAGCATTCCCGGCTCACCCTGGTTTCCACGTCCGTGCATTCCGAGCCCGCGGGGTCGGCGTCGGGCGGGGACGAGCGGCGCTTCCGCCTGGAATGGGAATTTGTGGAATTACGGCTCAAAGCTCCTGGAATTTGCCGCATTCCAACCCTGGGAAAGCTCCTTCGCCTTCCTCAAGAAATCTGGGATGCAGCAGCTCCGGCATCCATCGATTTCTCCAAGTTCTGGGATTTCAAGCTGGATTTTCCCATTGGATCATCTGGCCTGGAAGAGCCTCGTGCGTTCCCAGCACGTTCCCGGAATTCCAGAGGCTCCAATTAAAGGTTCCACCATTGGAACCTTGGGAATTCCAGGATCCCAGAAGTTCAAATGAAAGGTTTCACAATTGGAATTTTGGGAATTCCAGGATTCCAGAAGCTCCAATGAAAGGTTCCACCACTGGAATTCTGGGAATTCCAGAGGCTCCGATGAAAGGACGATTGGAGTTTTGGGAATTGCAGGATTCCAGAAGCTCCAATGAAAGGACAGTTGGAATTTTGGGAATTGCAGGATTCCAGAAGCTCTAATGAAAGGTTCCACCAGTGGAATTTTGGGAATTGCAGGATTCCAGGGGCTGGACTCACCCGGTGGGAGATTCCTGCCGGAGCGTCTCGATGTCGGTGAACTGCACGGCCTGGCCCCCGCCCCGGGTCTTGAACACGTCCCCCTGGAACGGGAAAAGGACACGGAAAAGCGGGATTGGGATGGGAACGACACTGGGATCCATCCCGGAATTCCAGCCCAAAGAGATACGGACACGCATCGCTCCTCCCTTTTCTGCCAATGGATTTGGGCCTTTTTCCACAGGAAAATGCATAAATAACGGGATTCATGGGATCCCAAAAATCATGGGATCCACAAACCATGGAATTCATGGATCATGGGATCCCAAAAATCATGGGATCCACAAACCATGGAATTCATGGATCATGGGATTTACGGTCATGGGATCCCAACAAATAATGGAATCCCATAAATCTGGGGATCCACAAATCACAGAACCCAACCATGACAACTCCCAACTGAATTTCGGCCATTCCGACACAACATTCCCAGGATTCCTGAGATTCCCGGGATTCCTGAGTCACCTTGATGAACTCAGTCTGGATCTCAACCTGTCCCCAGCCCAGAGCATGAGAGCCACATCCAGGAATTCCTTTAATTAACCTTATTTTAGCTATTAAATTTAATTATTCCTAAAAGAGTCATTTTAACCAAATTTCAGCCATTCCAACGGCACATTCCCAACATTCCCAAGATTCCTGAGGTCACCTTGACGAGCTCGGTCTGGATCTCAACCCTGTCCCCACTCCAGAGCATGAGTGCCACATCCAGGAATTCCTTTAATTAACCTTATTTTAGCTATTAAATTTAATTATTCCTAAAAGAGTCATTTTAACCAAATTTCAGCCATTCCAATGCCACATTCCCAAGATTCCCAAGATTCCTGAGGTCACCTTGACGAGCTCGGTCTGGATCTCAACCCTGTCCCCACTCCAGAGCATGAGTGCCACATCCAGGAATTCCTTTAATTAACCTTATTTTAGCTATTAAATTTAATTATTCCTAAAAGAGTCATTTTAACCAAATTTCAGCCATTCCAATGCCACATTCCCAAGATTCCCAAGATTCCCAATATTCCTGAGGTCACCCTGATGAGCTCAGTCTGGATCTCAACCCTGTCCCCAGCCCTGATCGCCACATCCAGGAATTCCTTTAATTTTAACTGAATTTTGGCCATTCCGACACAACGCTCCCGACATTCCCGACATTCCCGAGGTACCTTGATGAGCTTGGTCTGGATCTCGCCGTCGGAGGCCAGCTCCTGGTGGGTCAGCAGGTAGCGGTCGCAGCGGGCCAGGGCACGCTCGCTCGGCGCCTCCACCGTGATGGCCCTGGGCACGCGCGGCTGCAGCAGCGTCTCTGTGGGCACGTGCCCGGCGGGCCGGTGATCCACCCAGCGCTCGCCGGCGCTGCGGGAACGCCGCGGCCGCAGCGGCGCCACCGGAACAGCCTGCAATGATGGGAATGGGCACTGGGCACTGGGAATGGCCACTGGGAATGGGCACCGGCAACTGGGAATGGGCACTGGGAATGATGGGAATGGGTTGGGAATGGGCACTGGGAATGATGGGAATGGGTTGGGAATGGGCACTGGGAATGATGGGAATGAGCACTGGGAATGGCAGGGATGGGGCCCATGATCCACCCAGCTCTCGCCGGTACTGCAGGAAACCAGGAAAAGAAAAACACAGGGAATGGAAAAAGAAAACACTGGGAAAAGGGAAATGCCAGGAAAAGGAAAGGCCAGGAAAGGGCAAACACCAGGAAAAGGCAAACACCGGGAAAAGGGAAACGCCAGGACAAACATGAGCACAGCCAGGGCTAGAGCAGAGTGTGGCCACCTCAGAGCTCCCTAAAAGTGGGAATTCTCAACTTCCAAGGAAACTCCAAACAGCAGGAGGGCGGCCAGGCTCAGCCTGGGACCAGCAGGACACGGCAGGGACAGCTCTGCTCAACGGAAAGCCGGGCTCAGGGCACGGAACCTTTAAACCAGGATCAGGCCACGGAAACTTTAGCGTGGGCTCAGGGCACGGAACCTTTAAACCAGGATCAGGCCACGGAAACTTTAGCGTGGGCTCAGGGCACGGAACCATTAGGCTTGGCTGAGGGCACAGAACCTTTAAACCAGGATCAGGGCACAGAGCATTTAGGCCGGGCTCAGGGCACAGAACCTTTAAACCGGGCTCAGGGCACGGAACCTTTAGGCTGGGCTCAACCCCACTAGGCCAGGACTAACCCTGCAGCACGAATCCTCTTCCTGCTCTAGCTCCTCTCTGTCCCTGGGCAGCTCCAGCACTCGGCTCCAGCACATCCCTCTCCTGCGGGCCGAGCCCGGCTCCGCTCCCGCCATATTCCCGGATTTGGGAGTGGCGGCCGGCTGGCGGGAAGGGCCGCGCTGCTCCCACTCCAGCACGCAGGAGGCCACCGAGATGCTGCTGCAGGAGTTGGAGCGCCGGGGCACCCGCGGGGCCTCCTGGCTGGCCCCCGGCTCCGCGGGGTCACCACGGCTCTGGGGAGAAGGGAGAGAGCGGTGAGAGCCGGGGACAGGGAGATGCAGGGAATTCCCCTTCCTATGGAGAGCGGGAGGTGGGAGAATGGATGAAGAACAAACAGGGAATTCCAGCTGCTCCGGCTCGGGGCTCAGACTTCAGCAGGGTCAGCACAGCTCTGGGGAGAAGGGAGAGAGCGGTGAGGCGCAGGAGACTCCGAGCAAGCAGGGACAGACAGATCCAGGGATTTCCCGTTCCTAAGGATATCAGGAGGTAGGAGAACAGATGAAGAACAAACAGGGCACAGGGAATTCCAGCTGCTCCAGCTCAGGGCTCAAATCTCAGCTCTGGGGAGAAGGGAGAGGTCAGTGAGACACAGGAGACTCCAAGCAAGCAGGGACAGACAGATCCAGGGATTTCCCGTTCCTAAGGATATCAGGAGGTAGGAGAACAGATGAAGAACAAACAGGGCACAGGGAATTCCAGCTGCTCCAGCTCTGGGCTTGGGGGTTATTAATGAGCCAAATCCCTGCACCTCATCCCTAAAATGCTGTTCCCTGCAGGCAGCAGCTTTGGGAGGGACTCACGGGCGCGGGGGACGGAGACACGGATCTTGGGAGAGGCTTTTCCCGCTCCCTTTCCCGGGAAGGCCTCTCCGGCCGCTCGGCTCTGGGCTCGGTGACGATGGCCTTGAGCTGCTTCAGCTTCTCGTCCTTCACCCACAGCTTGTTCTGCATCTCCAGCTGCTTGGCTGCCACCCGCCGCTCCTGGGGGGACAAGCCATGGAAAACATGGAATTGCTGAGGCTGGAGAGGCGAGTGCAGCCAGCCCGGAGCCCCGAGTGCCACGGCCAGGTGTTCCAGGATACCTGCAGGGAGGCCATTCCAAACCAACTGGGCACTTCCAGTGGTTACAATCCTTTCCAGGAGGGAATTTTCCTGGTGTCCACCCTGAGCCTGCCCTGGCCCAGCCTGAGGATCTTCCCTCTCCTCCTGTCCCTGGGAGCAGAGCCCAACCCCCCTCGCTGTTCCTCTCCTCTCCTCTCCTCTCCTCTCCTCTCCTCTCCTCTCTTCCC